GAATCTTTCCAACATAACACTTCAGACTGCTGCCATCAGCCTGGCATTAGCATTCTAATTGATACCCATCTGCCATCCTTGCTCTAGAGTTTGCTGAAGTTAACTGTAACGTTCAATGAAAAATTGAATAATAATGACTTCTTCTATGAAAGAGGTAGAGACCTGGCTTTGGCAATGGCCTACTTACAATTTTCTTCATTGGCCTTCCTCTGCTGTGTGAACATAAGACAGTGTTCTCATTGCGTACAGAGAGTTTTCTATGTTTGGTGAAAAAAAATCATTTATATAATTGCTTTAAATCGAAAGGCTTACTTTTGGAAATTTTCACTAGGAAATGAGACCACTAACACACCAAAATGGAAAACCTGGGAACTCTAGATAGCTTGTAGATTTCCCAGTTCCTTCTTGGTTTCCCCTGTATCTTATCTTCCTTTCATAGGGGCTTTCAATAAAACTTCATGTTTACCTCTTTACTGCCATTTTAGTCAGTAATTTAGAAATCGTTCCTGTTAGGCTCTGAAATAGATTTTAGCACAAATGTACAATTCCTTATCCTAACTTCGCAGAGCCAGATGCGTTTAGGAATGCAGAATTTTTTGGATTTTAGAAAGGTAGTATGGTACATGAACTGTATATTATTTAGCATCCACAGTGGCATCTCCGACAACTTGTAATCAAACGTATTAACATTTCTTCACTCAAATATATAAATAATAACTCCACATGAACTAAATGAGGACTACACTTTCACGTCAGCTCTGGTCAGATTATTCCGCTGAGTTTGCACCAATTTAGGGAAACTTTTCCATTTTCATAGCTTTTTGCATTTCAGAATTGGGTAAAGGAATGTGGATCTGTACTTCAGAATGTGGATCTACCTGACATTATATAGTAAAGTTCCATAGGAGGATCTGTCTCAAGGAGGGCCTGGAAAGTCACTCGCCAGCCTCTCTAGTCCCTCCCCAGAAGATGCCTCTTTCCTGTTGCATATTTTATGCTGAAAGTATCTCATTTCAGGTTGGTGTAAGGACTATCCTAAGCAGAGCCATTCCTTCTATTTACTTGTTAGATGTGTGGTTAACTTCTGTTCTAGACTGTGGGAGAAAAGCATTGCTTTTGGCTACAGGCCTCATGGAAAAGGAAAAGATGGTGAGGGGAGTGAGCAAAAGAATAGGAGATTATGTTTTTTTCAAAGTATCTAGCATAAAGCCTGGAAGAGAATAACAACAATTGATAATAATAGATATAAATACTTAAGTACTCCTTACTCTTGATCTGAGTGCTTCCTGTACATCACCTCATGTATTTCTCAAGGCAGCCATGAGAATTAGGTACTGTTTATTACCCCATTTTTCTGAGGAGGAAATCGAGCTCCAGAGAAATAAAGTAACTTTCTCAGGGTCACAGAGCCAGTAAGTAGTGGAGTAAGGATTCAAACTTAGGCTGTCTGGCTCCAGAGTTTCTGCTTTTCATTCCTCTGCTATGCAGCCTCTCAAATGCTCAACACATGATAATTGAATGTAATGTGAAGTACATCAAGTTTTCTATTGGAAAGGGTCTGAAAGCATTGTTTGCTCAGGGCTGCACCTTCTCTCTTTCTGGGGCGTGTTATACATACACATATGTTATAACAAAACCAACAATGCTGTGGCCGGTAGCTAACCATTTATTGGCATATTGGTCTTTCTTAGATCAGAAATCGGAAAAATCATTCTGTGAGGAGGACCACGCAGCCCTAGTGAATCAGGAAAGTGAGCAATCAGACGATGAACTCCTGACCCTTTCCAGTCCACACGGCAATGCCAATGGTGACAAACATCATGGAGCCAGGAAGCCCAGCAAAAAGCAGCAGGAGCCAGCTGCCCCTCCACCCCCCGAAGACGTGGACCTTCTGGGCTTAGAAGGGTCTGCAGTGAGTAAGAATTTCTCCCCGCCGGTGGCTCCTCCCACCAATTCTGAACTTCTCAGTGACCTGTTTGGGGGTGCAGGTGTGGCTGGCCCTACCCAGGCTGGACAGTCTGGGGTGGACGATGTGTTTCATCCGACTGGACCTGCATCTTCCCAATCAACACCACGCCGATCTGCCACCTCCACCTCTGCGTCTCCAACCCTAAGAGGAGGAGAAGGTAATTTTTTCCCATGTTGCACCATACTTCTTGGTTTTTAATTATAACCTTTGAGGCAAACAGGTAGAATTGAACTTTCCTAATAAACTGGACTTTTCTGGTCCCCTGAAAGTCCCTCAGAGGTCTATATCTTCATTTAAATGGGGAACACAAGAGGAAATAGAAATATTACCCATTTTGGTAGGGCAGTGTAAGAATGGATAACTGAGTTCCTTATCCTCACTTTAATTTTTTTTTCAGAGCTTCAATACCTGAGCTGTTTTGGTTACTTCTGCTTGAAGATGTAGAATGAAGAACTATTAACAATAACAGCTAATATTTGTGGGATATTTGCCAAGCATGGAATTTAAAACTAAACATGAATTCAGTTCTTATAAAAAACCCAGTAAATAGGTGTTATTATTGTCCCCAGTTGAAGAAATAGAGTCAAATTAGTTGCATGCATTTATACAGTTAGTAATCAATGGGGCCAGTATCCAAAACTAAGATACTCGACTCCAGAACTTTCCCTCAGTTTTCCTATAATGCCTTCCTAGAATTATAGTTTTCTGAGTACACTTTGGCTGTGTACAGAAGTACTTACTTACTTCAGGATATATATTTAAGGAACTCATGCCAGTAGCACAGCTGACTGGAGCAGAGCAGTTGGTGGCAGGTGAGGAGTTCGAGCCCCATGTGGATCAGTTAGCTTTACTTTGCTTATTGCTACAGACTCAACCTATCTTTTGACTGGCCGTCCACAATTTTTTGACATTTGCAGGACAGTGTAGCTGGGTAAGCAGAGGTTCTTTGTAGCTTCTGAAGAACCAGATCCCCCTTGTTACCAAGGTAACATCACATTAGGAAGAGTAAAGAAAAATGTCTTAACTCTCCGGGCACATGGTAGGAACTTTTTTTCCAAGCTCATCCTTCACTTCTCAGGAAGCATTGGGCTGGTCTTGAGTTGTGGTAGTTCGGCTGGAGGCGATCTTTATGAGTGAGTCTCAGAATTATAGAATGTAGGTACAGAGGCTCAAACTCCTGCACATTACTGGTGGAGCCAGGATGTGAACCCAGGTATCCCAAATCTCAGGCTATTTCTCCACACTTCCTTCTATCCAGTTCTTACTTTCCAAAATGAATAAAATCTGGCATTTTATTTGTTGGAGAAAAAAATCCCCAAGATCCAAGATAGCATAGTACTCAATGGTCACATGTTAAGATCATGCACATTGGTGACTTTTGATGATTTAATTTGTATTCCAGTGTTTGTGTTCCAGTATCAAAACTAGAAGAGACCTTTGAGACATTAGGTAAATCTATACCTCAGGTGACAGACAATGAAATTGAGGCTAGATATATTGATTGACTTGTCCAAGGATACACAGCTGATTAGTGGCAAACTCAGATTTAGAACTCAAGTATTCTCTCCCCTAAGATGAAGTAAAAAGAATACAGACCAGATTTTAAGGCCTAGATTTGAATCCCAGACTGACACTTAACTATCTGTGTAGACTTATCGATCAAATCTTAATATTCTTAGTTGTAAAATAGGGATGCATTGTTGTAAAGACTAAATTTTCAGTTCTCATTTTGTGGTGTGGAGAAGTTCAGTTTTAGTTATTGGAGAATGCCTCTAATTTAACATAAGTTGCTATTAAAAGAGTACCAAGTAATAGTGAAAAGATCTTAGCATCCTCCACTAGTTGGCTTCAAACTTAGATGCAGAGGGATTAATCCAGTGTCCTCTTACAGTTACTCTACAAATCTCAGTGTTCTCATATTATAGAAGGGGTAGTTTTGTGAGTATTAAAATATGTAAGGGATATACGTTGTGTAGCAAAGTGCCTGACAGATACTTGATTCACTACACAAGGCTAATCTGCTGCCTACTAGATACTGGGAGAACATTATGGCAGGTGGTGCCTGACAGATACTTGATTCACTACACTGCCTACTAGATACTGGGAGAACATTATGGCAGGGAAGTCATAGCTGAACACATTAAACCATATATCCTACCTGGACTATGAGAGTAGGATTTATTTGTTAACTCATTTGATTTTAGTTGCCTATTAAATAGGTCAATACCACTCTAGGAAGCAGTCAACTTATTCGTTTTATATTTAAAGACTAGAAAGTAACATCTAAAGAAGCTAAAGAGAATTCTGTTTCTTGCCCAATAATGAAATATTAAAGGCCAACTACATACATGCATCTCTGCATGGTTTTCTTCACATTCACTTCACACCTTGAAAATTTGTGAGATGCCTTTGGGAAATTTCTGGAATTTGGAGTCAGGAGACTTGAGTATGAATTCCAGCCCTATATTTACTTGATATTCGGCAAGAACCTTGGCTTCCTAATTACAGTTACATTGTCTATAGAACAAAAGTAATACTGCTTTTGTGTGATGGAAGATAAAGATAATTGAAGATCAGCTGAAATGTTCTTTATGAAAGGCAATGTAAACCTTAAGTAATGATACAATATTAGTATTGTTGCATTGCTACTGGAAACCTCAGCTGCTCACTTTGTTCTAGTCTTAGTTCATTCACAAACCTTTGTTGGCCCTGGAGGAAGTTTTAAGGATACTGTGGGCCTGTAGAACAGCCCAAGAGGCAGGTACCATCCCGATTTTTCAAGTATTTGGCCTAGGGCTGGCAATAGTGAAAACTCTTCAATATTTATTCACTGAATGAACTCATAGGACAAAGTAACACATTTTTCCTTTGTTTTCTAGGTGCCACCTTTGACCCATTTGGAGCACCTTCTAAACCATCAGGTCAAGATTTGCTGGGTTCTTTTCTGAACACATCCAGTGCTTCCAGTGACCCCTTTCTTCAGCCTACAAGAAGTCCTTCACCTACAGTGCATGGTAAGGAAGTATTTTATATTGTGTTCAGTGGAACATAGATTTCCACAAGGTATCAGTAAGTACTTAGATTTAAAAGCATCCTGTAGGTGTTCTGGGGGTGGGGGGTGGGGTGGAGGAGAAGCTGCATAATGTATCTCTCTTTTTTGGAAATTAACAATTCACATTAACAAATTAAAAGCTCCAGGATATCTTGCTGCAAACAAGCCTGCCTAATTTTATTTTACTCAGCTTTTGCAAAACTTATTTGACTGTGAAGTTTTTTTTATTTTTGCATTAGAACTACATGCTCAGAATTGTAAGACACCATTGATTATAGGACGTTTCTTTATTTTATGTACTGATAAGGGAGAAAAAAGTCCCGCTGCTTTTAGTTGATTGAAAGATGGTCCTAGTTGGAGAAATCTTTTTTTTTCATGCCTACAGCACCCTGTCTTCCTAGGTGGTCTTCTATCCAAGTACTAACCAGGCCCGACCCTGTTTAGCTTCCGAGGTCGGATAAGATCGAGCGTGGAGAAATCTTTGCAATGTGGAAAAATATGAGTCTAAAATTAATAAAAGGTGATACGAGCATTCCACAAAGTTAGTATTCTACAGAACGAAGTTTAGAATAAAACACTCTGATATATTAGAGCTATTCTATCTAATATGAAGTGGTCTTTCAGCACTTGAAATGTGGCCAGTCTGATTTGAAATGTGCTCTAAGTATAAAATACATCCCAGATTCAAAACTTAGTACAGAAAAAAAGAATATAAAATATCTCATTAATATCATTTATATTGATCACTTGTTAAGATAATATTTTGACTAGATTGAGTTAAATAAAATAAATTATTGAAATTAATTTTACCAGTTTCTTTTTACCTTTTTAAATGTGATGACTAGAAAATTTAAAATCACATATACAGCCCACATTATATTTCTGTTAGAGTCTTAGATTGTGTGGAAAGAATAGTAATCACACTCATTTGTAAATGCAAAAGGTTATCATTTGGGTACCATTGATTAAAACTGGAGCTCTTCAGTGAAGGACAAATGGCTTTGAGCTAGAGAATTGTAGCTCATTTTTGATGTTGAAGGCTACTGAACATTATTGGCCTCAACCTAGAGAGTGATGTATTGATGAAGGCACCCTCAGCTTGCCTGGAGAATGCAGTCCAATCATCAGCTCGACCTCATGGAAGCCTTGCAAATGCAAAAGGAAGATGAGTTGTGTAACATTGGTCAAACTGGAACTGGACTGAAAATGAGAGATCAGTTTGGAATAACCTTTATGGGTGATTTCCAGTTGGCCTTAAACTTCAGACTATTTGAAATAGGTCCACAGGACATACAAGAAATGCACCTCTCACCCCTGAGTAGTACTCACCTAAAAGAATCTCCTGATTGGAAGTTTATCACCCTGAGAAGAAAGATGCAGGGATAGAGGTGAAAGCTGTTGGTTTTGCTCGCTTACTTAAAATATAGGTCATATCAGATGGCTCCCTATTTCACTCAGCATGGCTGCCAGAGTCCTTAATATGGCCTTTGTAGGCCCTATGTGCTCTAACACCCCAGTGACCTCATTTTCAATTCTCTCCCTCTTGCTCTCTCCATTCCAGCATTACTGATCTCTTTGCTGTTGCACTGGCTGTCTCTTCTTTTCTCTAGATATTGGCTACTCTAGCCTATGGCTAAACCCTTCACCTCCTTTGATCTTTGCTCAATTGTCACCTTTTCAATGGGGTCTTATTGACTGCTCCATTTCACCTCACAACTCATCCTCCTGCCCCTACTCTACATTTTCCTTTCTATGGTACTTACCAACTTGCAATATATTTAATAGTTTACTTACGTGTTATTTGTTTTTGGTTGTCTGTTCCTCCCCACTAGAACATGAGCACCACCAAGGCAGAGATTTTCATTCATTAATGGTTCCCGCATGCTTAGAAGAATTACTGGCACACAGTAGATGCTATTTATCTATCTGTCTTTCTTTCTAGTGTGTAAATATAAAATGAATTAACTCACTTTTTTTCCTACCTAAGTTTTTTTCCTACGTAAGTTTCTTTGATAAGGTTATATATCTTCTTAACTTTAATACTTTGAATTTATTGTTTTCATAAGGGTACTACCTTTTTTGTCCCATAGGCATGGATATTCATAATTCAGCATGGCATTTCTGAATCCAGTTCTTTGTTTCTTGTGAGCTAGTTAGACTATGTTGTTTATCGCCCCATTTAGGCCAGTTAGCACCCCTTTGTTTTGTGGCTACACTTCTCATTTTGACCTGTGTGTTGCTGCTGAATGAAAAGAATTTTTCACTACCCTTGCTGAGAAAGCCATAATCATTCCACTGTTAGTGGAACAGTTGCATCTTCTTAATATAGAGTAACATATAGGTGAGACTCAGATGTCAGATCGCCCACCTCCAAATCCTGGGGGAATTTCCCTCATATTTCCACAAGGTATCATCAATTTCTTCTGAAAATCAAGAAATATGGCCTCTGAGCTCTAAAAAATGTTTAATGAACATCTACTTTAATGAACACTTGGGACATAGTGTTGGAAGAAAAAGTAAACAAATAATCACAATAAAAGGCAAAAGGGAGAATAAAAGTATCAGGTAATTACTTTTTAATTTGTATATTCCCATATCTCCAGCAGATTTTAAGTTTCTCGAGGATAGGCAGCATGTCTTTTAGTTTTCTGTTCCCTGGTGAGGTGCCTTGCATAGGTGCCTTGGTAGGTGGTCATAGGGATTCGTGGGTTTGATTAGTAATAAGGTTGATGTTCTGATACCCAGTTCCACATCCTAGTTGGATATAAGGCCTCAATGAGAATGTAAAGGAAAACAAACAGTAAATGTTAGCAAGATGGTCTAATTTCCACCATAGTTTTCAGGGCTCACTTTGGAATAAGAATCGAAAGGACAGAACTGTTACTGCTGATAATGGCATGTTCTTTTTAACTTGATGAGAAGGCACAAGATGTTTTGGTTTGTAGTAACCAAATAAAACAAGTGAATAAAGTCTTGATAATACTAATCTTGGTGATGTGATGATTCTTTTGGTGGTGGTAGTGTCTGTGTGTATGTTTTAAATCTCAGTTGCAATGTTAGTTACTATTTGCATTTTACTCACTGATTTTATGGACAGAACCTAGAGGTACCCTAGAAAGAAATTCTCTCTTATGACATCTTGTTTCTTGTTTGGATTTTATAGATGCAGGAAAACCTTACTACCAATGTGTATTCCTTTAATACACCTGATTTTTTTTTTAGCTGAACATTTTTAAATTCTACATTTGGAATTTTGAAGCTGTAATGAGTCAGTTTTGAGTGACAGCAGTTACATCCCTGACATGAGCATGGTGGATAGCATATAGTCAGTGCCCAATACATGTTCTGAATGACTCATCATTCTCAATTCATGCCACAGCAGAGGAGAAAAAAAATTTGAGTTCTAACTTGATCATGTCTCTCATACACTTATTAATGCCAACCAAAGGAAAATTGATTTTTCCCCTATCTTTTCCTATTGCATACTGACTTTAGGTTAAGTATAGAGGTGGGACACACAAAGACGAATAAGATAGTTTCTGTCTCCAAGAAGCTCACAATTTAATGAAGACAGACATATGCACAGTTATATTCAAAGTATGTCAGTTTGGAGGTAAAACAAAGGTGAGCCAAAGAAGGAACAGAGATAAACGATATATGGCTTTTACCAACCCCCCATGTAAGTAACCATAGATGAAGGTACAAATTATCAAGTGCTGCAGAATGTAGTGAGAACCCAGAGGGAGGAATGAATCCCTTGGTATCTTGGGAGGCCATGCAGATTTAATGGAAGGTACAGCATTTTCCTGTGTGAACTTAAAAAAGTGAGTGCTGAGCTATCTTGTTTTGATTCTTTTTCTTTTCTTCATTTTTAGCATCTAGTACACCTGCTGTGAACATTCAGCCAGATGTTTCAGGAGGTTGGGACTGGCATGCTAAACCAGGTAAAGGTCAGCGGTTATATATATTTTTGGTGCACATTTAACCAGTTGCTAAAGCATAATCCTTTACCCAAGTTGAAGACTGTACTTACAGAGTATTATAGCCCATCTGTGTAATTCTTGTTGATTTTTCCTAAACGCTCATATTCTGGTGGTACTTTTCCCATTGTACTCGATGACATGGTAGTGCTGTGTATTATACATTATTTAACTTTTCTGAGTCTCATTTGCTGAATGTTTGTCTTGACACTAAAATTAGGCAGATTTGGATATATATCTAACTCTGCCACTTAGAAGTTCTTGATTTTTTTTTATAAGTCTGAACTTCAGTGTTGTTATCTGTAAAGTGGGGTCATAATTCTTGTCCCACACAGTTGTATAGTTTAAGTGAAATAACTTATTTGAAAATTTCTGGCATAGAGTAGATGCTGAATAATTTGGATGGTCTTCCTTCTTCACAAAGGACTTGTTTCAGGGCTGGATTTGTCTGTGATAAACAAGCTGGCTTTCTCCTGGATAGATGGTATTTATTGAGATCCTTCTTGTGTGATTGCATTCCCAACAGTGTGCAAGTTACACACATCCAAACATCGACCACACACACACACACACACACACACACACACAATGTCCTTATCACAGCAACTTTCTGAAGCAGTCACTGTTTCCTTACTTAACAAATGAGAAAATGTTGAAGCTCAGAGAAGCTAAAAAAACTTGCCCAAGGTCTCTCAGCTAGGAAATAGCAGAGACAGAAATCAGATCCAGGCCTGACTATAAATCCCATAGGAAAGAATGAAGTCAGGTGACAGGACAGGTAAACACTGGACATAGTAGTTCACAGGGGTGGCCAGGAAATGATATATGCCTTCTCTATGCCCTGTCCCTGCTCCAGGGCACTATTCACTTAAGTCAGAAAAGCAAGGTCTTGCAGTTTCTAAATTATGTCCAAACTCTGTCCTCATTTGCCCTTAGAGACAAGACAAGCTGTAACTCTGGATTTCTGAATTTCAGAATTCAGTTACTTCAGAAAAGTAACTTATTTTCAATAATCTTATTTCAGGAGGGTTTGGAATGGGAAGCAAGTCAGCTGCCACCAGCCCAACAGGATCGTCTCATGGCACTCCCACTCATCAGAACAAACCCCAGACTCTGGATCCTTTTGCTGACCTTGGGACACTAGGTACAACTTTAACAGGTTAAGACATTTACTTATGGCTATAAAACCTCAAATCTAAATCTGTAGTGTTACAAGAAGCTGGTACCTAAAATCTTGTGTATTCTTAAGCTATACTCAAACCTGAGATTGGCTTTTCTAAAAAAGGAAACAGGCTTCAAATAATGGGTTGGAACTAACCCATATTCATTCATTTCTCCAATGCCTAATTTTGGATTGGTAACATGAATAAAGTTAGATCTTCCAGGAGCATCTGACAACAGAATTTGGCTACAGCAAAAGTAATGAATGTATAGGAAAATGCTGAGAAGCTGGTCAGATAGATTCGAGCCACATAGGTCCAGCCGTGCATAGGTCATCCTGTAACGTTACTACTGAGATCTTCACACTATTATCTCTCTTCTCTCCATTGACTGCAGTGCTCTCTGTTCAGTTTGTAAAATTCTATTCAGAAAATAGACTCAATGTATAGTATTTCCACAGTGTTTTTCATCATATGCTAATCGTTGTTGGAAGATAAGTGTCCCATGAGCATGTAATTTTGGAAACGCTGGTTTGATGGCAGGAGGGCCCAAGGGCTGGTGAAGAGAGGCTTCATGCACTGAGTTACAGACTGACAGGGGACAATGCTAAGCTTCTGAGCACAAGCCTTGCCATTATCTCTTCCAATAGCAAGTATTTATTGAGCCTTTATGGTGTACCAGCGTGTGCTGACCATTGGTGGGCATTGCTGGGCATTGCTGGGCATATGAAGTTGCATTTTTTTATACTATATAATGCTTCTTAATTCACTTAATTCAGAGTCTGTGAAGCACTTTTACATAGTCATTGTGTCTTTACAATATACCTGTGACTTAGATATAGTTCTGATCTTACAGATGAAGAAGGTGGGGCTCAAGGAGGTGAAGTTTTTCACTGAGCTTCAGAATAGACCATTTTCAGCTATATTCCCAGTACTTAGCACTGTATCTGGCACATAGTACATGGTCAACAAATACTGATGAATGAATGTATGAATGAATGAACAAATAAATGTATGCAAGAATGACTGCATGAATGAGAGGTAGAGCTGAAACTCAAAGTCAGATTGACTCCAAGTCCAGTAGCCATAATACAATATTCCCAGGTGGGGAAGGAAGGAGGACTCCCAAATCAAAATGGAGGAAAAGTATCTATAGAAGAAGAGACGGGAAGGGACGAGTTGTAGTGAAAGGCTCAGAAATTGTGTGAAGGAATTAGGGATATGGGTGCAGCAGTGAGCCTGACATTTGTAGATAGTAGGATGCCTGTGGTCAATTCCTAGCTCCATTAACCAGCTCTGTGATTATGAGCATGTCCATAAACCTCTCAGAGCCTTGGTTTCCTCATCTTTAATGTGGGGCCAATAGTACTACCTGCTTCCTAAAGATGTTGTGTAGATTGAAGGCAGTAATATACATAAACATATTTTGTAAACTCTAAAGAGCTATATAAACGCTAGTTATTTTATTATCACTGTTACTTTGGGTTTGGTGCATGAAAGGGTCCCTGGAGATCACATTTCAGTTTCTCGTTTTACCTCTAAACATAAGCCATAACTGGTCTTCGTATTTTGGAGACAACCCAGCATGTATGCAGTGAGTACTTAAAAGTTAGGAGATTACAGAATCAAGATTGTACTTAAATTCTCTGCACAAAGTAATATCATTTTTTAAAGCTGGAATAAGATTCTTTGCCCTATTCAGAGTTGTCAGGATAGTGGCTGTGTTTACACCCCTGCAATGAAATGTAAGTATTGTGAAACTGAAACCTAGTTGTGAAATTTCAAAACATCTTTATTTACTCTTGAGCATTAACCATGTTTATACTTATAACAAACTATGATTAGTCCTGATCATTGAAGTTTAAGTAGCACCTTAATCAATGAATATATTTTGTTTTAGTCTCTCTTTTTGGCATTTGGTAGTTTTCACTCCAATGAAGAAATAGTCTGCTTAGAAGGTGGGAAGGAGGAGGAGGAGGGCACAGTGGGAAGAGCCAGCGTTCTTCTGGCTTGGAGTCAAAGACTTGGATTCAAGTTCTAGTTCTGTTACTTGCTAGCTGAGTGACTTTTAGAAAATCACTGAACTGCTCTGAGCTGCAGTTGTCCATCTAAAGAAAAGATGGGGCTATTAATACATACCTAAAAGTGTCATTTGTGGGGATTAAAGGAAATCTATACCTGCAATTTCTTTAATTATTAGGTAAGTTAATTGTGCTGTCAGTCAAGGCAATTTCCACTAAAGTCATTGCAAACAGTAACCTCAGACACAAGGGTTAGAGGCTACTCAAAATAGCATTGCCTTCTTTCTCCCCTACCCTTTTTATTTTCCCTGTAGGTAGTTCTTCATTTGCCAGCAAACCCACCACGCCAACCGGATTGGGTGGAGGATTTCCACCTCTCAGCTCGCCACAGAAAGCTTCTCCCCAGCCTATGGGTGGAGGGTGGCAGCAGGGGGGTGGCTACAACTGGCAGCAGACACAGCCTAAGCCACAGCCCAGCATGCCACACTCCTCTCCTCAAAACCGACCCAACTACAACGTGAGCTTCTCAGCCATGCCTGGGAGCCAGAATGAACGGGGGAAAGGATCAACTAATTTGGGTAAGGATGATGGTATGGAGCCCAGCTGTAGGGTGGCCTGTGTTGTCTTACTGGCTGTATGTATATATGTCTGAAAGAGACAGAAAATAATTCCAGTAGTTTCTGAGACAATCTTATAAAGATATTATATGATAGCTACCTCCAACTCTGTGCCTAGAGTACCTGGGTTTACCATGCCCTTAACACTTATCATTTTCTGACTGTTGGCTCACTTGTCTGTCTCTCCACACTGAGACCAGATGGAGGGCAGGCACTGTGTCTTTTCTTGCCATGTTATCATTGGCACATAGCATAATGCTTGGCACAGCATAGGCACCGAATGAATATTGAGTGGATGTGAGTAGAGGGTTGGATGGATCTAGAAGCTGTCATTCCTTTGGAAGAGGGAATAGAAGAGAAAGTTTGGGAACCTTTCAGGCACTGTGTTCTCACATTTTCCCTTGGGTCCCGATTAGAGGAGTGTATTTGTCTTGAACATTGGTCTTTTTTATGCTCTGATTGGTGGGTGTTCCTGAGATCACTGGGTTTCCCTGTGATGGTTTTTCCTCTCTTCTGAGAAGAAAGGTAAAAGAACACAAGATGGGCCAACAGCTAAGGCTGAAGGATACTCTGGATGGACTTCTTCTTCCTCTTCTTCCTCTTCCTTCTCCTCCTCCTTTATTTCTTCTTCCTCTTCCTCTTCTTCTTCCTCTTCCTCTTGGTCTCCTTCTCCTTCTCCTCCTCCTCCTTCTCCTTCTCCTCCTCCTCCTCCTTCTTCTTCTCTTCTCCCTCCTTCCTCCTTCCTTCTTCCTCTTCCTTCTTCTTCTTCTTCTTTTCTTCTTCTTCACTCTTCCATCTTTCTTCTTTCTTTCTTCCTCCTCCTCTTCATCTCCCCCTCCCCCTCCTTTTAGGTGGGATTCTTGATGAGTAAAAAATGTTTCACACAGCAGTGATGGTTAAATTTGAGTTTCTTAGAAGGCCTTTTATGACACATTTTGCATTCCAGATGATTTGATCATAACCAAAAATGAAATATATAGGGACATGATGAGGAAACAGGCTTTTCTCTCTATTTAATATGAAAGAAGAAATTCTTCTACTTTTTCCTAGTAGCAATAAGTAATATTTATTGAACATTTCCTGTGTGCCAGGTACTATTCTAAGCAGTTTTCATGTATTACTTCACATAATCTTTAAAACCAACCCCATGCTGCAGATGAGGAACCTATGACAGAGATTGATCCAGTAATTTCCTAAGTTCTTAAAGCTTGTAGATGACAGAGCCAAGATTTGAACCCGGCAGTCAAGCTCCAGAGCCCTTGCTCTTAACCACCATGCTCTACTGGCTATGCCACAAGGGCCTTTTCACAATACTAACATGATAGTGATTCTTTTGTTGGTAATATGTAATATCATGTTTGTTCTTTGAGTTAGCAGTGGATAGTCCTTGAACAATTCCATAGACTCTTGTAGCTTCCTTTCTATTTTTATTTTGAGTTGCTTTGGGGCAAATATCTTCAATCAGCAAATATTTGTGGAGCATCTTCAGTGCAGAAGACATTGGGGATACAGCAGTGAACAAGACAGACAAAATCACTAGTATCAGAGCACTTTCATGCTTGTGTGTGCATGTGCCAGTGTGTATACAGAATGCCTTACAGTATAGAGATGACAAATGGATTTCAATTCAGACACTACCTTTGGTTGATGGGCATTGACAGCATGAACTGCTGTGTTGTGGTTTTGTTTCGTTTTAATTAATTTAACAAACATTTAAATAGCCCAGTACTGTTCTAAGCACTTTAAAATGTTAACATCAATTCTCACAACAACCCTATGAGGTAAGTAGTGGTATTAACACTGTCCCCATTTTATGAATGAGACGATTGAGGCATGGAGATAAGTAACTTGCCCCAACGTCACATTGCTAATAAATGGCAGAGCTGGATTTCAAACCTGGGAAATCTGTCTCCAGAGTCTCTGCTCTTTGCCACTACGCTGGGCTGCTTCTCCAAACAGATTGAGAAAGATTGTGAGGCCACAATCAGACGTGGAGAAAGAGACCACTATAATGGACTGAAATTGTCAGCTGGGTGTAGGAAGGAAAGCGGTGGCATGCATGGATTTTAAGTACCAACACCCAGGCCGTAGTCCCATCACTGAGACTAACTAGTTGTATGACAGGAAGGGGGAGGGGGAGAATCATGAGTTTCCTCATCTATAAATAGGTGGTACAGTGGTACACAAATTCTGGAATTGGATTTAATCTAGTGATTTAGCCTCAAGTCCTAGCAGTGCCACAGGCATGGTATATGATCCTGGAAAGACCTCTTAAGTTCTCTAGACTTCATTTTCCTCATCTGTAAAATGTGCTTGACAGTCTCATACTAAGAGGATAAGTATGAAGATTAAGTGGATTACACATTAAAGCACCTTTAAGACTTTTAAATGTTATAGGACAATGGTATGATATGTTTAAGAGCAAAAATTATAATGAGTTTTAAAAACTTATATTGCAGAAGGGAAGCAAAAAGCAGCTGATTTTGAAGACCTACTTTCTGGTCAAGGTTTCAATGCTCACAAAGATAAAAAGGGGCCTCGAACAATAGCTGAGATGAGAAAGGAAGAAATGGCTAAGGAAATGGACCCTGAGAAATTAAAGGTGAGTTGAGCACCTGACTCAGTGTGATTATCCTGTATGTCAAAGTCATGTGACAGGTCATGTGTGTGGATCCATCAGTGTTCCTGTTCTTGGCCTCCTCACTTCTTCTCTCTACTTTTAACCAGAGTACTTCATCTTTTATCTGTTTTTGATTTTGGAAGTCTAGGTAAGATTTGATTTGGGGAAAAAGAATTTTGCTTCATTTCTTTTTTTTTTTAATTTGCAAACTAGCTACTCTCACTCCCTTATTTCACAGATGAGGAAACGGACATTATCACTTCATGGATGAGGATGTTGTGTGCACGGGTGAACTCAGGTTAGCTTGGAAACAGAAGGAAGGTTATGTTGATGAATTGTGTGAGGTAGTGGAAGAGTTTGTAAGGATCGAGAGAATTGGTATACCCTTCACTGATGGAGAGGCTGAATTTCTACGTGACAAAATACTAAATATGCTGCCTCTATAACAAACCGGAAGATGAAGGTCTAATCTGCTACTGCATTAAAGCATCTCTAAAACCAGGACTAGCACACCACTCAATCCTACACATTTAAAAATAATATATAACTCATGTCCAGACAGATTCAAACAGTTGTTGAAGATGTACAGATTCTTTGATACTTTTTTTGAGTACAAAATAGGATCCTTTGTTTGTATTTGCTCTTCAGTTCACACATTACAGAGGCTTTATATTCTTTCCAAAAACTTGGTGCTCCATCTGGATAACTTTTGTTCATATGGCAAACTCTGTCAGTTTTCTATAAAAGAAAGTCATATATGTCTTTTAAACCATGCTTGGTTATTTAGTTGGTACTGGGCATTTAGTCGTTTGGGAGAGTAGCCACACTAACCTTGACTAAACCATTCATTTGACAACAGATATGCACTGAGCTCCTGTTATGTGCTCAGTGCTGATGCATTCTTACGAACACCTCACCTTAATCACCTTATTTGTTCAAACTATGAAGATCCAAACTATAAGTAATTTGAATGAAAGACTAAATGGATGAATTCATTTAACAAACTTTTTTGAGCCATGTTCAGTGCAAGATGAGTTATTTGGTTTCTGAGATACAGTGTTATATAAGAAACAGGACCTTTCCTCAAACAGCTGTGTCTCATGGCAGAGAAGGACAAACACACAGACAATCACAATAGTGTGGCACATATTATGATAGAAACATGTTTAAGGGAGTAGCCCAGAGAAATCCGTTCTTTTTTTCAAGGGATATTTATTTAGTGTCTGTGTGCCATACATACACTATACTAGACAGAGGCAGATAGCAAAGACCAAACTAGATGTGGTGTGTGTCCCCATGGAGCTTATACTTTAAGAGTGAGTAGTTAATTCTAGGGTGGGGCAGAGAGGAAGGAATTCAGACTCTTGGAGGTGAATAGTATAAAATTCCTGAGCAGGCTTTTGAAGGATGATGAAGAGTGAACCAGAAAGAAAAGGAAGGAAGTGGATGTGGAAAAGCATTTCAAGTGGAGAAACAGCTTGGAGTACACAGGGAGCCCCAGGGACTTTGATGATGCTGCAGTGGGAGGAATTTCCACAGTCCAAGTGGAGACCTTCTAGACTGGAAATCATTTGCATTTCTTAATTTCCCTGTGTTCACAGATTCTGGAATGGATTGAAGGCAAAGAGAGAAATATCAGAGCACTTCTCTCTACCATGCACACTGTGCTGTGGGCTGGGGAGACCAAGTGGAAACCAGTTGGCATGGCAGACCTGGTAACGCCAGAGCAGGTGAAGAAGGTGTACAGGAGAGCTGTGCTGGTGGTGCATCCAGATAAAGTGAGTGTGACCTATCCTATCCTATCACCTGTCTGGTCCTCGTTTCATTAGTTTATCAACATGTATTAAAACAGCATACTTTCAATTTGCTGGTTATTAGTCCATTTATATGATAAAATAATATATGGGCTAAAATCAAGTATTTAAGCAAATAGTTATACTTTATAAAGTTGGTGGAAAAACAAACAAACTGCGTATTACAAATAACGGAATGGGGGCTTTACTTAGGTGTAAAATTCACCACTGATTAATTTTTAGAGTTTCCAAGAATTTAAGTATTTTTAGAAATGGGAATGCGGGAGCTTAGAAGTACAATCTGTTGGAGTTAGACTGTCTTGAATCTTTGCCTCCAGAAGTAAATACTTCTGGATTATACTACCATACGTGAATTTCTACAGGGAGGGCATTTTGGGGGGGATCCTGGAAATTCAAGTCATGTAGATTGGGCTCTCAAAAGTGAAATAGCCTAATAGAAAAACATTTCAATAACTTAGAGCCCACATATTAACAGTGAAAAATTTAATATGAATAAATTTGTCTGTAGTATCAATGTGTGTGTTTTGCTTTTTTTCTATAGGCTACTGGGCAACCCTATGAACAGTATGCAAAGATGATTTTCATGGAGCTCAATGATGCCTGGTCTGAATTTGAAAATCAAGGCCAAAAGCCCTTGTATTAATTTATGAGCTTTTCCATCTCAGCTGCAGACCTGTGTTAATGCTTAGTGTGTGTCACAATTCTGAGGTTTTCAAAGATGAACCAAAAACTCCAGTAACATGTATCTTGTACTAAATTGTTAAACTACTTGTGAACTAATTCCTCACTGATAAGGAATGTAGATGTTTGTTTTCTCAAGTCTGCCCCCCCACCCCCGACCCCCTAAAAAGTTGCAAAGCAAGGGAGGAACTTCTAGTCAGAAGACCCTGCAGAATTACAACATTCCAGCCTGTCCTTTGGGGAGACAACTCAGCACATCATGAGGAAATAGAAAATAGGGGCCACTGAAAGCATGACACCCATCTCATTGTCTGGAAATACGATTAATGAGCAGAAGTTATAATAATAGGATGACATGATGGATTTTAATGGTTTTTAGATTTTTTTGGAAAGCTGTAATTTGAGAAGAAATATAGACACTAGTATTTTTTTTTAATGGAAATTTACTATGGTCTTTAGCATGGCATTGTATACTTCTTTTGATCAAGAGGACTAACAGATGCAAAAGAGCTCGACTTGTGGGAAGTGTGCAATCTAGTTATTACTACCAACTCTTCCTGGATAAGCTAAAAATTAGTGAAAATGTTGGCTAAAGAAAATAGGGATGCTTGAGATCTAGAAATCTTTATTCCTGGTCAGAAAGTTGGGTTGCTACCTTCCTTTCCCTTTAGAAAACTGTGGTTGCTTAATGAAAAAGTCTTAATACCATTAACAACAACTCAGTCTGATTTGAAAGAAACTTCTAAATTTGCCATAAGGCTTAATGCTCTTCCTTTTGCTTAGCCACGAAAATGTTCTTAGCTTGTTATAAAGCAGTTTGGCGCATTCAGGACTGATATCTAGTATGGACTCAGTGTCCTGTAGGTTTGCGAATAGTTGTGGTAAGAGAATAGAAGACGGCACTTAACACAAGTAACCAGACAGGTACAGTTGTGTTGAGAGAGCTGTGCTTACCTTCAGACCAAGTTAGATGGCTTATCGGAATTTCCATGTTCCACTCCCCACCTGTTGAAACTGGACCCTTTGGATTATTGCCATGGGTTTATTATTTTTAAAGTCATTGGGGATTCACAGGAACAACCTTCACATAGAGACATCTATGAAAGCAAAGCAAGAGTGAAACCTTTGCAGACTTCACACTGGTTGGATTTTAGTTCAGTGTTTCGGCTGTTTCTGATTCATAGGGGTAAATAGTTGTTATCCTGTGGCTTTAGTATATCTCTTTTGGTGTGCACACACACAGTGTGCATAGTATATATATGCAAAGAAGATGGGCAAAAAGATTTCCACGCTAATTTTAAAAGATTCATGCTCAGTATTGTGAAGAACTTTCAAAAATTGTTTTTCAAAGACAATCATTTTTTTGTTTCTATTTTAATTTTCTTGTGGCAAACCGTACTGGAAAGGCAGCATGTCAAAAATGCTTTATGTTCTTTAGGGAACTCTCTCTCTCTCTCTCTTTTTTTTTTTGGTTACAAGGGTTCATTTTTTATTTTATCTTTTACTGACAATGTAAAACTCGCAAAAAAAATGTTCTTTTTAAATATACAGCTGTAAACTGTTCGAGGTAACCATAACAAACTAGATGTTATTTATTAACGTATTATAAAATGTTTGATCCAGTATGTGCTTGTCTTATTTAAAATTGGAATGTGAGATATGTTGCTTTGACCTGTTTTTTTCCTCATTCACATTTGTAGATATTGTGTGAACTACAGTATATAATGATAATAATTAAAAGGATATTATGTGAATGTCGTGTACATTTTGAAATGATAGAACTATATTAGCTTTGTATCATGTTTGGATAATTCATCAATTTCACGGTTTAAAACATCATTAAACATTATGTAATTAGCAATGAGAAAGAATCTTACTTAACTTAAATTTGGGTCTCCCCATCTCTTTTCCAGATACACTATAACTCTGGACCCCTGTCTATTTCAAAACCCTTAACATATGCAGACCAACAGGTTGTTGCATTCCTTTTAAATATCTGGTTGTGACAGAGCTTCTTGTTGATCAGATTCACCATTTCATTCATATTTATTGTAATATATTTTTGTTTTGTAAATATGTTACACACAACAAAATGTGATTGGTCTAAAATATTTGTAATGAATATTAAAAGGCTCAAAAATATTTGTAGGAGCCCAAGTTATTTTTGCACTCGTAGCAATATAGTGACAAGCATGAATTACACCTTTCGATGTACACATTTAAGAAAAGCTATAGAGAAAGAATGTGAAAAGCATGTAATACATTTGTATCAAAATATAACCTTACAGGATTTATGGATTTATATTCTAACCATCCCTACTGCCACCCTTGCCTCCACATGCACACACACTTTGATCATGCTACATGAATGCCATGTTTCAAAAAGAATCAATGTAGAAATCCTGGTCTCATAGCTAGAATATTAATAGATTTTCAAAGCTGCATTTGTTTACCAAGGCAGAGGGATTGATCCTGAGAGTCTGGGACTTTGTCATAGAAAACATAATTTAGTTCTTTTAGAACAGAAGCAGCATGTTCATTTGGAAGCAAATGTTGCAATTCAAAAGCATTTGAACCATCACTGTACTGTCTGTGTCTGCCAGAATGCTCAAGTTGGATCCTAATGCTGCTGATGAAACACCATTGTTTGAGGAATGAACACAAAAGTTGAATTCCAGAAATAGTTATCACAGCAACTGTTCAGTTTCTCCACTGGAAACATCTCTGGGGAATTTAGGTCGAGTAAACAGGTTTTGTTTGTTCTAAAGCTAAACCATGGTGATTTGGGGGCATAGAAGTAAGTACAGTGTTGGTCTGAGACAAGAAGACTGGTTTTCCCACTTAAGACTCATATTGGGCAAGTTTCTTAAAGTCTCTAAGTCTTAATCTTATCACCTATAAAATGGAGATAATTCTAACTGTGCAATGGAGGAATTAAGGATAGTGTATATAAACTGCCTGTTATTAAATGGATAATCACTAAATAGTTATTGTTACTGACAGTAAGACAAAGTATCATTGCAGGTCAGTTTTGGAGCTGGAATTACATTGTTGTGGGGAGTGGATAACATGAGTAGAGAAAGGCAACCAATTGGCTCTTAATTCTGTCTCCTTGGGCTGACAAAGATCTGTCTGTATAAAATGGCAGAGACTTGCATTGTAGGTTCTGTAAAGGGAATGGCTATGTGAAAAGAAGTGGTCTTTGAGAGTTAGGATGCAAAACTAACATTGACTGATTTCAATATTGTTGCATCATACTTGCATTTAACTTACTCACGGACTTGAAAGCCAACACAAGTGGATATGATGCCATACCATCTATCTTTCATGCATAGACCTAGGTGCTATTCTATATATTCATTTTCTCATTTAATTCTCAAAAAGTTCTGAGAGATTTTTGTAAATCCTACCTCAGGAAACAGAGGCATGGAGAGGGTAACCCAGAACTAGAGTTTGAAGCTAGATCTTTTCTATAGGATAGGGAGAGAAGAAACAATACATGGTGAACTTTATTAATTCAACGAATATTTTGTGTATACTGTATGCAAGTTGCAAATAGGCATATAAGGAAAAATCAAATCAATGAGTGGATTTGATTGCCTAAACATAAGGGGCTATTATTTCTAATTACTACAATCCCTGCCTTCTTTGTGCATCAAATCTACTGTGAGGAACAGTACAAATGCTAACCGTCTGACTTCAGAGTTGAACCGTTTTGGTCTTGATCTCGCCTTCCCCACTCACTAATTACTATCCGAGCCTTAGTTTTCCCATCTGAAAAATGGACATAAGAAAACCTAGTTTAAAGTGTGAGAGAATCAAATGCAAGGAGAGAATATAAAAACTTATCTGAAGTAGTCACTGAAGTTCTAGGCAGTGTGAGAGAGGACACATACATCAAAGTAACACACTGATGGCGAATGTGTTGAGAATAGGATTCAGCTTCTGAGGTTTTTCTTTTTTTGGTGACTTTTATTCTTGAAGAAACATGGAAGGGGTAAGTGGAAGAACAATTTTTCAGTGCAACATCTGGCAAGAAGGAAGATTTTCTAAGGAGATGGTAAGAGCCTCTGGCAAGATGGCTAACTTTCTCTTCAAAGTATTTAGGAAACTTGAAAAGACAGCTGGTGTTGGGATGAAACTTGTTGGAGACCAATACTGGCTCTGCATTTTTTGAATTCTGGACATTACCCTCAGGCAAACACCTCATCTTTTTGCTTCTCACCATCTTTCTGTTTCTTACTGCTAAGACTAAGGCATTCAGACCAAGCTGTGCCTCTGAAGTAATGCCACTTTTCTCCAAAATCATTTCCTTTCTGTAGGACTGGCCTCAGGTTGACACGGAAGGCTCCAGCAAACCTTCGTATATGGCTTTCCAGATACTTGCTGGGTGGAGAATGGAAGGGGAAAATGGGAGATTTGATGTCACAGGAAACCATCATCAGTTAAGGGGAAAAATATCTTAACTTCCTCTTGAGAGCAGCTTGGCACTACAGTAAGGGAGCTAAAAAAGACAGACTTTCAGTATTTGGGTGATAGGTAGTTTCCCCCAAATGCGTAAACACGTGTTAGAAAGGATACTAAAAAGTGGGAACGAAGTTCTCAACTATCTTAAACAGGTTGCAGGCTACGAAGTAAAGAGTGCGGTGTAATTCTGGATCTCCATGGGTCTGCAGTGGGCCTGTATTAACAACGCAATGTTTTTAATAAGTGTATCTTCCATCTATGAGAAATGAGAGGGGCTAGAAAAATAAACCAAGCTCACGGGTACTTAAGCATGTGTTGAGACAATATCACGCTCAGTGCACAGTTTTGAAAAAGTAAACATGGTGGAAATCCTGAAAGGTGGTGAGAATGTGGACTTCTCAGGTGGCCAGGAGAACCTGGATTCCAATGTAACCCTTAATCTTTCAGTCTCGTTGAAAATTAAGAAGAAGCAATAGAAGAGGGGCAACACTCTTCTACCGTGGAGTGGTTCTAGGCTAGAATGAGGGGTACTGGCCCGTAATCCAACCTCAAGAGAGCTATGTCAATCCGGCAAGTATTACCCTTTCTGAGCCTCTCTATAAAAGTCAAATGAAGTATCTAGGACTAGCTGGATTTTAAGCTCTCTTCCAGACTGTCCCCAACAAGACAAAACTCTCCATTCCCCTGAGGAAAGTACAAAACAGCCGTCTGAGATGAGCTCATGACGAAAGGTCGGGTTTGCAGTGAGCAAAGGAGTTTGTGCGGCGAGCGTGGAAACTGGATCTGGAGGCAGGAGCGGATCTCCGCGAGATGGGGGTGGAGTTAATAACGAGCTGGGGCGGGGCCGTGGGTATCAGGGGCGGGGCTCCGGGCGGCGGGGCGGGGCTGTGAGTAGCAGTGGCGGGGCTCCGGGTGGCGGGAGCAAGGGA